GAGGCGATGGAGCCTCCAATAAACGACTGAATGTCACAACAATCTTGGTTCTCTTTTCTGTTTCTTTCAAAAGGTTTTTTTTTTAAAAAAAGAAATTGTCCAATATTAGGGAAGTTGGGAAGACTGACTCCAAAGATGTATAAAGTATGAAAATACATCACACACACACACACACACACACACACACACACACACACACACGAAAAAGAAAGCCAAGCAACAAGAGGGGAAAAAAGAAAGATAATTTAAGAAACGAGAATCAGAAAAGATAAGCAAGTTCCAACCTTGTATTCCAGTTTTCAACAAACTCAATTTTCCATCCACCCTCTTCGATATTACAAAATTCCCTTATTCAGTCCTTTTTCATCGTTTCATTTTTCCCCATTTCCATCAAAAACTCCAGAAAGTTTCCAGTCTTTTATAAAAGTATTTATTGCTTTGTCCCTGTCCAAATAAATCAGTGTGCCAGTTCTGCCAGTTTCTTAATCCATTCCTCCCTTGAGGCTGTTCCAATATTTCTCCATCATTGTCCATATCATAATCTTGGTGAATCCACACATATCTGTACCGTGTAAGCAACAGAAGAGCGGAAGGCCATGAAAAGAGAATCCACAACCTCTGGATTCAAATTGGCTATGACATGAAGTATGACATTGAAGACAGGGGTTCCCCACCCCCGGTCCGCAGCCTAGTTCCCTGCCCGTTTGCAACCGGGCTGCGGAAGTGGTTGGTGAGCTGCATTTGTGAAAACAGCATGTGCGTGAAACAATCCCCTCTTCCCTACACTGGTCAGCCAAGCCGGAAAGATTGGAGACCGCTGATTTAAGGCAAGGCATGCTTTAGCCATCTTTTTTCCAGTGATGAATTCAGGACTAGGACTGTCCCATCAACTATATTGCAGCAGAAGATGCAAGTAAATCATACACAAATATTGCTGGGCTGTAGCTCGTCTTCCTCAACGTTCCTTCAGTTATAGTAAGCAGGGCTGTTTTCTGTAATAACTAATGTAATAACTGTAATAACTCTTGCTTTCGGGTTTGTTTGTGTTTTTAAAAAAAGATTGACTTATATTCGAAGGTTGGGAATATTGACTTCAAAGGTGTATAAAACACATACATTTATTATCTCACTTACTCACATATCTCTCTTATTCAATCCTTTTTCAGTTGGAATTGCAGAAATCCAAAACTCATCATTTCATATTTTTTCATTTTCAGAAAGAGGTCTACGAGGTTTCCAGTCTTTTATAAAAATACTTGCTGTTTTGTCCCTGTCCAAATAGGTCAGTGGTGCTATTTCTGCCATTTTCACAATCCATTCTTCCATGGCGGGTGATTCAGTATTTCTCCATCGTTGTAGATCTCATGAGGCAAATCCACCTAGATACCTGAAGTGATGAAGGCCGTGTAAGCAATGAGCTGCTACTCTTTCTGGGGTGGTGGGTGTGGGTGTGGGTGGGGAGAAATGCTGTCTAGGGAAAGTTAAGATCAGAGAAGGCATAACATACATGCTTTGTGTTTCTTGTCTGGTCTACTCTGAAGGGCCGATAGCTTCTTAGGTAATTCAGTTTCTTGGTGGCACTTTCCAGTGGAAGAGGGTAAGGCCATGAAAAGAGTGGATGTGCCATGTCTAGGTTCAGACCGACTTTAACATGAAGAATGACATGTAAGGCAAGGCATGCTCATCTCCCCTTTTTTCCAGTGATGAATTCAGGGATAGGGCTGTCCTATAAAGTACAGTATATTACAGTTGGGGACGCAAGTAAACCACAGACAAATTGTAGAGAGCAGCAACTTGCTTTCCAGCCATCCTGAATGCTCCTTCAGCTGTTCCTTCTGGCGTTTTTTTAATAAGTTAATTGTGGTGGGAGTTGGCAGCAAACAAATTTGATAATAAATAAATAATGTTCCTTGGAAGATCTAAAGGTGGGTGTTGTCTGTTCCTTATAAAGTTGCTCCCCATAATGAGAAGAGCCATTTGACACACACATTTGAACCGGTTGGAAGCAGAAGCTGCAGTCCTGAAGATGAATGGCAGAGCCAGTTGATTTCTGTGTTTTCAGCGTTCTGGTGACAGGATCCAATCGGGGTCTGGGTCTGGGTCTGGTAAAGAGATTTCTGGAGCTGCCCTGTCCACCCAAATGGGTCTTTGCTACAACTCGGGATATGGAGGCAGAGAAAAGTAAGGTAAGAATCAGTTCACCTAGCATGACAACGGGATACAATAGTTATTGTGTTGAATGGAGATTGAAATGACGTCTAATGAAGGAGAAATTGCACACTTTTCCTGCTTGCTCTTGCTTTTGAGATTGTCCTCGTCGACATCCAGCTGACTGTCTCATTGTCTGAGTTTTAACGCACAGAAAAATTATGATCTTTTTTTTTCCTCCAGGAGCTAAGAGAGATGGCTTGCAAATATCTGAATCTAGTGGTCTTGCAATTAGGTGAGTTTCAAGGCCATGTGAACATGGGGCAAATTTGGTACGACAGGCATGTCCAGAGCAACAAAATTTAGTTATCCTCAGAACTAACCAAAGCTATAACATCATTGGTTGGGTTCATGAAAGTCAATTTCCCAGACAGAAAAGAATTTAACTTACATGCCTCCGCATGTTTTGAACAACGAGGTATCCTGGGACGTATCTGTGGTTCCAGGGTGTTCCATTTGAAGAAAGACTCTGCAGCTTTGATGTTGAATCCATCCCATTCATATATTGTTGATATGGTCAGCTGATTGATAAACTTATTTGTTGGTGTTTGTGGTTGGGTTTCTTTGAGTTGCGGTAGATTGTTTTGTGACACACACACACCCAGTTAAAAATAGAAAAGCTGCTCCTTCTTCCAAGAGGTGGGAGTCAGATAAAGCACCATTCATGAGTGTCTGACCTAAAGTAACTCCCTGCATCTCTCTGCTTTGAGAAGGGAGGAGACTGTGGTTTCAGGAAATTCAGCTTTTGCCATTCTGAAACTCAAGGTTGCTGACGTTTTTAATAACGTTGCTTTTCCTTAGATGTTACTAAACCTGAAAGCATCCAGGCCGCTCTGAAAGAAGTGCAGAAGTGTGTTGGAGAAGGTGGGCTGACCATCCTGTACAACAATGCTGGCACTTGGGACTTCAATGATCTGCAAACAGAAAATGCCAAAGATATGATGAGAGTTTATTCTGTCGATACCATCGGCCCACTGCTGATGAGTCAGGTTTGTTTTCTGAACAAAACACCTTTCAATGCAAGGAAGATTGCTCTAATTGGGAGTACGGTAATACTGTAATGCTCAAAACAACAAAGTAGACATTGTACAGTGATTTGGGAGCAGGTGGAAACATTAGGGGTGTGGGGTTTTGTTAGGGAGTGTTGGAACACAGCACTTTTCCTGGGTGTGGTCTGGATGACTCTATGAAGGTCCCCTTGCAGCAGGTGCCAGAAGACCTTTTCCTGCCATTGCCCAGTTCCTTTCTCTAGACATGACTGCAGCTCCTTCTCTCTTTTCTTCTCTCTACAAGGCCTTCCTACCCCTGCTGAAGAAGGCAGCCCGGAGAAGCCCATGTCAAGGGCTGAGTAGCAGCAAGGCCGCTGTTATCAACATGTCCAGCATTGTAGGCTCAATTGAACTTATGGCTTATTGGGACCAATATCAAGTCATTGGATACCGCTGTGCTAAGGTACCTAGTGAGTTTTCTATGTGGATCTGCCTGCAGATATTGGGACCTCCTTTTTCATGCTTGAATGCATTTGTTGTGTTCCTAAGTAGGCATATTAATCAATTACTGAGATGGTGCACTGTCTGCCCTGGTTCAGCAGTGATGTTTTCCTGCTGTCATCTGTGCCCTTCCACCAGCCGTTTTCCCAATTTCAATGCAGACAAAATTGTATGAAAATGCTCACTTCCACTTTTGGGCTCTTCCTCACAAGAACTTTGTCCAAATTCAGTGGGAAAGGATTCTTTGAAAAAAAAAAGAGATTTCATTTATTTTTGAGAATGATTTACCTCTAATGTAAGGACTCAGGTTAAGAAAAGAAAAAGGTAACTTGAACAGGCTGTTTTTGTACATTTTTGTACTACCGAAACGTTACCATTTTCATTTATTGTGTAAAAGTCAACAACTCATCAGGAACCAACAAAAACAAAACAATACCAGTGGGAATGTTTGCGTCGGGGTGGTACAAATACTTCTTATTTTCAAAAAGCAGCTCCATTGGTAGCTTGGTTCTCAACTGCTTTGAAACTCATCCAATTTGGTACTCGTATTTTGATGTGAACATTTTGTCCCAGTACTCATCGTTTGTTTGGTACTCAACGCACAAGCTGGAACTTGTCAGTGTTGGCTGCCTTCTGACTCACTACATTATTCCTTATGGGGGAAAAAATCTTTCATACTCATCAGTTTTGGTACTCATCATACCTCCCGTACTAATTAATGATAAGTACCGACGTACCACTAAATTGTTTTTACAGGCAAGACAGATTTTTTTTAAAAAAATATTTTATTGATTTTTTTAACATAAATACCTTAATACTTGGTAAACAGCGTGTTGTCTGGGCTTATAAATTTGCAAGGCAATCACTAACAATCAGTTTCTATATTGCAAAGTCCACATAATATCTTTGCTTGATTTTCTCTTCTTCCAATAATATTCTCTTTGCCAACCTTGAATTGATACAATTCTTATTAGTTTGATAGGTAAGAATTAAATATAAAGATTTTTCTAAAATTTCCACAAATAATAATCCCATCAATATCATGCTTCTTTTCTATCTGGTCATCTTGGTTGCCTCGTCATAAATCCTGTTTACAATTCTTTTTTAAATTTGTTTTCCCTACAATGTTCAAAACATTCTTACTGGTTAAGATTTTCTCAAGGTTAATTACATTTAAATATTTAAATCTCTTTTCCTCGTACAGGCCATCCCAACACTTTTACATTTCTCGTGTCTTAAAAAGTAAAAAGAAAGACAAAAGAGAGAGAGAGAGAGAGAGAGAGAGAGAAAAGAATAAGAATAATATACTACTTAAAATACATATCCCTCTTAAACTAATATACATTTATTTCCATTTTTTGTTCTTTTTACCCATAATTAAACAGATTATTAAGCACATTTTCACTTGCATGAGATGCAAAATAATTAAAATACACATTTCTTTGCTTTTGTATTTACAGATAATTTTTTAGTTCAGTTCTGGTGTGCCTCATAGGCCTTTCCAGCCCCATGTAACATTTAATCTATAACATCCTTTATATAATGTTTATCTCCACTTTATCTTTCCTTTTTTCTTTCAGTGCATTTTTCCCTCATGGTTCTTTTTTTTCCGTGCCTCTTGTAGGTAGCTCTAAACATGCTTACCAAGTGCCAGTCTCTTGAGTATCCGGCTGACGGCATTATGACTGTCGCCATCCATCCTGGAGTAGTCAAAACTGCTCGCAACCCAATTGTAAGTTTTTTGACCTGGGAAACCAATAAAGGACAATATTTGAAGCTCAGGGTGGACATGAGGGATCTGTGCTTGGTTGTTTTTGTGCAGACATGTCATTACCCAAACTAGAGCTAGTGATAATGTTCCCTAGCAGTGATGACTAGCATTGACGATATTACCGAGTTTGAATAATGCAACCTCTACAAGAACATAACCAAGCTCAGAGAGCACCAAGGATCCCTTATGACAGTGGTGGCGAACCTATGGCACGGGTGCCAGAGGCGGCATTCAGAGCCCTCTCTGTGGGCACGCGCATGGTCGCCCCAGTCCTAGGCCTTCAGCTGGGTTTTATAAAACCTTTTCACTTTAGGCCTCCGCCGCCGTGTGCAAAAAAAAAAAAAGATTCAATCAAACAGTCAATTTCAACTTCGCATGGCGAAAAAAAAAAGATCTTGCAAATTTGGAATTGATTGATTGAACATTTTAGTCCCACTCAGTCTGCCGTTACCACCGCAGCCACGCCCAGCCAATGGGCCACACCCAGCCAATGGGCCACACCCACCCGGCACCCGATGATGCATAAGTGGGTTTTGGGTTGCAGTTTGGGCACTCGGTCTCTAAAAGGTTTGCCATCACTGCCTTATGACATGAGAAAAAGATATAACACATTCATATGTATTCAGCTATCTATGAATCAACATAGATGCAGATTTTCAAAGATACATGAATGATAAAGGAGAATATTTGTAGTTCAAGGTTGAAATGAGGATCCTTGGTGCTCTCTGAGCTGCTTAGTTGTTTTCTTGCAGACATTTCATTACCCAAACTAGCTAACACCGGTACACTGATGATGTTACCTAGTTTGGGTAATGAAATGTCTGCAAGAAAAAAACCAAGCAGCTCAGAGAGCACCAAGGACCCCTCACATCTGAATGACTTAATGATGAGTCCCTGAAAATATTCTTATTATTTCAGTTTTTAGTGCTTTGTGTGACAATGTGCCAGTGTAAAAATAGATACCTCAAGTACTTCTGTTAAAGTTACGCTGCAGTTTGAATCAAAACATCGAATTAGGTGTAAAGACAGTGAAGGAACAGAACAAAAAGAGCAACAAAGATGATTAGGGGCCTGGAGGCTAAAACATATAAGGAACGGTTGCTGGAATTGGGTATGTCTAGCTTAATGAAGAGAAGTAAGAGGGGGGACATGATAGCAGTGTTCCAATATCTCAGGAGCTGCCACAAAGAAGAGGGAGTCAAGCTATTCTCCAAAGCCCCTGAAGGCAGGACAAGAAGCAATGGATGGAAACTAACCAAAGAGAGAATCAACCTAGAAATAAGGAGAAACTTCCTGACAGTTAGAACAATTAACCAGTGGAACAACCTGCCTCCAGAAGCGGTGAATGCTCCAACACTGGAAGTTTTTAAGAAGAGACTGGACAGCCATTTGTCTGAATGGTATAGGGTTTCCTGCCTGAGCAGGGGATTGGACTAGGTGACCTCCAAGGTCCCTTCCAACTTTTTTATTATTATTATTATTATTATTATTATTATTATTATTATTATTATTATTATTATTATTATTATTATTATTATTATTATTATTATTATTATTATTATTATTTTGAACAACCTTCCCCTATAAAAGTTAAAATCCAGTTCCCCTTAAAAAGAAATCTACTAAATCTTACCTTCTCATGTTTGAATCTCTTCTACTGGTGATTCTGCAGTGTTTCTGCAGGAAAGCATGTGCGTATATACAAAATGACAAGGACTCAGTCCATGTCATACCTGAGATTCAAAGCAGGGTTGACCCTTTGTTTTGGAAATCATAACAGGGGAAGATTCGCATACTAAAGCAAATAATAAGAGTTCCACTTTGCAAATATTAAATTTATTGACTAAGTACCGGCACTTCCAAGGCCTGCTCATCCATGATTAACTTAACTAACCCGGGGATTTACATGATGCTTTGTATCATCACCCATCACAGGGGATGTGCTTGTATACTGTACTTTTATAAGCCAAAATGAGATTGGCCAGTTTAAATACAAATCCGTCTCTATATTAGAGTTGAATATTTATGGTCAATAGGCCCAACTGCCTTCTGCTGATCTGCTTAGGTGAGAGTTCTGGGTTGGCCAGGACTGATTCTCTAAACCTTATAAGGTCCTTTTTTGTGGCAGCCGGAAATCAGCGTGGAAGAGAGCACAGAAGGCATCATGACGGTGCTGTCCAAGCTCTGTGAAGAGGACAACGGGACCTTTCTGGATTATTTGGGTCACCGACTTCCCTGGTGATCCATCAGTCTCGCCTTAATGTCGTTGACTCATAACAAAGTGAGAAGCAATAAATAAATAAATCACTGAATGTCATGAAAATCTTGATTTTGTTTTCTCTTTCTTTCAGAAGCTTTTATTTTTTCTAAAAAAAAAAAAAACCAATATTCTTCATGTCTCATATGCAATGTGAGAGGATGAGGAAATAAGCCTCACGGGTCAAGCCTATACCATGATCTATTAGTTTCAAATACTTATCAAATATTTATCTTTAATCATTTTAAATACTTGAATCCCAGGTGTAAACATTTTAAAAACAATAAAGCTACTGAACTCCGGGATACAAAAGAACCTTTTAATCACTGAGCTTTCGTCAACCTCCTGTTGACATCATCAAGGAAAGGGCTAAAGGTGGGAAGAACCTATATATATATATACACCTGTGTGACAGTTTAATGGTCAGGTCATAGAACGTGTAATCAACCTGCCCGTTCCCCTGCATTCAGCCGCACTAGTTCCGGCTCAGCCGTACAAGCTGGATTCCGTTTAGATCTTGACAAGCCAGTTTGTACGGCTGAGCTGGAACTAGTGCGGCTGAATGGAGAGGAATGGGCATGATGTCTTGCACCATCGCCCTTCACAGGGACTGGCCTCGTACACCTTTGTAAGCCAAAATGACATTGGCCCGTTTAATACAAATCCATCTCTGTTGGTATTGAACATTTATGATCAAGAGATCCAACTGGATTCTGCTGATCTGCTTAGGTGAGGGTTCTGGGCTGGGCAGGATCAATTATTTAAACCTCATGGGATCTTTTTTTGCGACAGCCGGATATCAGCGTGGAAGAGAGCACGCAAGGCATCATGACGGTGCTGTCCAAGCTTTGTGAAGAGGACAACGGGACCTTTCTGGATTGGTTGGGTCGCCCAGTTCCCTGGTGATCTATCGGTCTCACCCTTAATAGAACGAGAGGTGATGGAGCCTCCAATAAACGACTGAAAGGTTCCAGTCTTTTATAAAAGTATTTATTGCTTTGTCACTGTCCAAATAGATCAGTGGTGCCAGTTCTGCCAGTTTCATAATCTACTCCTCCATTGAGGCTGTTCCAATATTTCTCCATCATTGTCCTTATCAAAATCCTGGTGAATCCACACATATATCTGTACCTGAAATGGTAAATAGTAAGCAGGGCTGTTTTCTGTAATAACTAAGTTAAATGTGGTGAGCCAGTCAGACTCGCTGGGAGTTGGCAGCAAACAAATTTAATAATGAATAAATAAAACTTTCTCAGAAGATGGGTGTTGCCTGTTCCTTATAATGTTTCCTCCCACAACGAGAAGAGGCATATGAAACAAATATTTGAGCAGGTTGGAAAAAGAAGCTGCAGGTCCTGAACAGATGGCAAAGGCAGCTGACTTCTATAATAATAATAATAATAATAATAATAATAATAATAATAATAATAATAATAATAATAATAAAGTTGGAAGGGACCTTGGAGGTCATCGAGTCCGACCCCCTGCTCAGGCAGGAAACCCTATACCATTTCGGACAAATGGCTGTCCAGTCTCTTCTTAAAAACTTCCAGAGGCCGGTGGTTCCACTGGTTAATTGTTCCTACTGTCAAGAAATTTTTCCTTAGTGCTAGGTTGCTTCTCTCCTTGATGAGTTTCCATCTGTTGCTTCTTGTCCTGCCTTCAGGGGCTTTGGAGAATAGCTTGACTCCCTCTTCTTTGGAGCAGCCCCTGAGATATTGGAACAAATACGTTATCTGTTTTGCCTCTTCTCTATTACAAAATCCCTCCTGCCCCTTTTAAATCCTTTTTTCAGTTTTCATATCAAGGACTCCTCATCTCACGTTTTTTTTCCCCCCATTTCCAGCAAAAAGTTCACAAAGTTTCCAGTTCTTTTTATAAAGGTAGTTATCGTTTTGTCCCTGTCCGAATAGTTCAGCGGTGCCATTTCTTCAAGTTCTGCCATTTTCACAATCTATTCCTCCCTAGTGGGTAGTCCAGTCTTTCTCCATCATTGTCCGTATCATAAGGTCGGCTGCCTTGGGAAAGATCCAATAAGAGAGGACAAAGCCCTAATAGGCAGAGAAAGAAACTAAAGAAGGAACATTCCTAACTTCTCAGACTGTACAAAATAAGGTAGGAGATTTGTACGTTGAGAGTGTGACAAATATTTCACAAGGGTCAGGTACGAAGGCAAGCCAGCTCCTTGGCGGCACTTTCCCATAGAAGAGGGGAAAGCCATGAAAGGGGATCTGCCCCAACCACTGGACATAAACCGACTGTGACGTGAAGAATGACATTTAAGGCGAGGCATGCCATTCTACCCTTTTTCCAGTGATGAATTCAGAAACAGGAGTATCCTATAAAGCAGTGGTTCTCAACCTATGGGTCGCGACCCCATTTGGGGTCGATCGACCATTTCACGGGGGTCGCCAAGCAAGGCTGTCCACCATTTTTTCCCCCGTTTCCGGTGGGTGCCTTACCTCCCTTGGGCTGGGCCAGCTGGTGGTCGGCCTGCTCCGTCTCTGCCGCTTGCCAGCTACGCCTCGGCCGGCGCAGGGGGCGGAACCACGCATGCACGGCGCTCCCGGGCAGGGAAAGTCCTCGACTTACGACCGGTTGGGTAGTCCTCGACTTACGACCGGTTTAGTCCTTGACTTACGACCGGTTTAGTCCTCGACTTACGACCGGTTGGGGATCGCGGCATTAAAAAGGTTGAGAACCACTGCTATAAAGTATATTGCAGCTATGGACGCACATAAATCATCCTGATTGCTGCTTGCTCTAATAACTAAAATAGTTGTGATGTAAAAGCCAGACTCACTGGGAGTTGGCAGCAAAAAATAATAATAATAAATGAAGTTTCTCAGAAGATCTAAAGGTGGGTGTTGTCCGTTCATTACAATATTATTTCCGATTGTGAGAAGAGGCATTTGAAACCAACGTTTGAGCAGGTTGGAAGCAGAAGCTGCAGGTCCTGAAGAGATGGCAAAGGCAAATGACTTCTCCGTTTTCAGCGTTCTGGTGACGGGATCCGATCGGGGGATCGGTCTGGGTCTGGTGAAAAGATTTCTGGAGTTGCCCTCTCCACCCGAATGGGTCTTTGCTACAACCCTTGACCTGGAGGGAGAAGAAACCAAGGTAAGAATCAGTTAACAGAGGATGAGGTGGTAAATAGTGGTTAAAATATTGAACTGAGGCTGAAATATTCTGATACACACCAATCATATTCTTTCCTTTTACAGCAAGCAATGCTAAGTAAAATGAAAATTGAGTTCATTCTAGTTAATGAATTGAGTTCATTCTAGTTTCCTTTTTTCCTTTTCCTTAAATTCTATTGACTTTAGTTATTACGTATTAACCGCTGGAGGGATTCGAGGAGGACGGTTGGGATTAAAGACTAGTGTTAAGATAGAAATATACGTTATTTTAGAATAAGTACTGTATATAAAACTTAGATGTATATCTAGAGATGAAGAATCGATTGTAAAATGTGGAATAATTTAATAAGAATGTATATACTGGAATGTCACGTTATATCCAATGTTTTTTAATTGTATTATAAATAAAATTTTGTAAAAAAAAATGTTTGAATCTGCAGCAGAGTGTGGAAAGTATTTTGGGGAAGCAATATATTGGTCTAGAATGTCGTGATGTGTTAAGCTTTAATATGGCTCCATAAAGTTTGTTTCATTCAGACAGGAATATTGCCCAGCTGAAATCTAATGCAGCAGAAATGGCATATCATAACTGCTTTTGAGATTGTCCTGTCCTTTTTGGCATCTAGCTCATATCATTATCTCTGAATTTTAACCCACAGAAAAATCTATGATCTTTTTTTTCCCTCCAGGAGCTAAGAGAGATGGCTTGCAAATATCCGAATCTAGTGGTCTTGCAATTAGGTGAGTTTCAAGACCCATGTGAAAGTGGGGCAAATTTGGTACAACAGGAATATCTAGAGCAACAAAATTCAAAGTAATTCTCACAGCTAACCAAAGCTGTAACGTCATTGGTTGGGTTCATGAAAGTCAGTTTCCCAGAGAGAAAAGAATTTAACTTACATGTCTCCGCATGTTAGAACAGCTTTCTCCAGAGAACGTTTTGAACAATGAGGGATCTTGGGAATCGGGATGTATTTGTGGTTCCAGGTGTTCCATTAGAAGAAAACTCTGCAGCTTTGGTGTTGAAAGAATCAAACCTATACTGTTGATACGATCATATGGTTAATAAACTCAGTTGTTAGTGATGGTTGTGGCTTGGTTCACTGTGGTTTCTTTGGGTTGGGCTAGACAAACTGCTCCCCCCGTCCAGGAGGTGGGCTGTCAGATAAAGCTCCCTGCATGGGCTCCATAAGGTAACTTCTGCATCTTTCCGCTTTGAGAAGGGAGGGAGACTGTAAATAGCGATGTTTTTCAAAATTATCAGCTTTAAGTTATGTGGATTTAACTCCCAGAACTGAACTCCAAACTATTCCAAGAGTCAATAAACTGATGGAATCTCTTTATAGCCTGACAGATTGCCCTAGATTATTTTAGCAGGCAAACTTTATATTAGTTCGCAGAGTTATCAGGAAGACCTCATGTGTATCTTTGTATTTTAATTATTTTATTCAATTTCTATAGCTGCCCGTCTCAATGCAATTGACTCAGTTGGTCAATTGACTAGTTTTCAGTGTTGTAGAAAACGGAGTCAGTTGTGCGTTTATGCAATACGTTTTGGTTACCCAGCCATGACTTGGGTATAATGTGTAAAAACCACCTGATTTTAGCCCTATGTGGGAGTCAGTGCAGAGCAGAGAGACTAGGTCAACTTGTATGATCACAAATGCTCTTGCTTTGAGCTTTGAAGGTGGTTAGTTGCATGAAGAAACACAGGGACCTGTGGTTTCAAGAAGCTCTTACCTTGCAATTCTGGAACTTCATGTTGCTGATGTTTCAACACCATTGTTTTTCCTTAGATGTCACTAAACTTGAAAGCATCCAGGCCGCTCTGAAAGAAGTGCAGAAGTGTGTTGGAGAAGGTGGGCTGACCATCCTGTACAACAACGCTGGCATTTGGGCCTTCAACGATCTGCAAACAGAAAATGCCAAAGATATGATGAGAGTTTATTCTGTCAATACCATCGGCCCACTGCTGATGAGTCAGGTTTGTTTTATGAACAAAACACATTTCAATGCTTTAATTGGAAGTACGGTAATACTGTAATGCTCAAAACAACAAAGTAGACATTGTACAGTGATTTGGGAGCAGGTGGAAACATTTGGAGTGTGGGGTTTTGTTAGGGAGTGTTGGAACACAGCACTTTTCCTGGGTGTGGTCAGGTCTGGATGACTCTATGAAGATCCCCTTGCAGCAGGTGCCAGAAGACCCTTCCCTACCATTGCACAGTTCCTTTCTCTAGACATGACTGCATCTCCTTCTCTCTTTTCTTCTCTCTACAAGGCCTTCCTACCCCTGCTGAAGATGGCAGCCCGGAGAAGCCCATGTCAAGGGCTGAGTAGCAGCAAGGCGGCTGTTATCAACATGTCCAACATTGCAAGCTCAATTGAACTTATGGCTTATTGGGACCAATATCAAGTCATTGGATACCGCTGTGCTAAGGTACCCAGTGAGTTTTCTAGGTGGATCTGCCTGCAGATATTGGGACCTCCTTTTTTCATGCATGAATGCATTTTCTGATGCTTGTGTGTCCCTAAGTAGGCATATTAATCAATTGCTGAGATGCCGCACTGTCTGCCCTGGTTCAGCAGTGATGTTTTCCTGCTGTCATCTGTGCCCTTCCACCAGCCGTTTTCCCAATTTCGATGCAGACAAAATTGTATGAAAATGCTCATTTCCACTTTTGGGCTCTTCCTCACAAGAACTTTGTCCAAATTCAGTGGGAAAGGATTCTTTGGGGAAAAAAAAGAGATTTCATTTATTTTTGAGAATGGTTAAAGAAAAAGGTAACTTGAACAGGTTGTTTTTGTACATTTTTGTACTACCGAAATGTTACCATTTTCATTTATTGTGTAAAAGTCAACCACTCATCAGGAACCAACAAAAACAAAACAATACCAGTGGGAATGTTTGCGTCGGGGTGGTACAAATACTTCTTATTTGCAAAAAGCAGCTGCATTGGTAGCTTGGTTCTCAACTGCTTTGAAACTCATCCAATTTGGTACTCGTATTTTGATGTGAACATTTTGTCCCAGTGCTCATCGTTTGTTTGGTACTCAACGCACAAGCTGGAACTTGTCAGTGTTGGCTGCTTTGTGACTCACTACATTATTCCTTATGGGGAAAAAATCTTTCGTACTCATCAGTTTTGGTACTCATCATACCTCCCGTACTAATTAATGATAAGTACCGACGTACCACTAAATTGTTTTTACAGGCAAGACAGATTTTTTTAAAATATATATTTTATTGATTTTTTTAGCATAAATACCTTAATACTTGGTAAACAGCGTGTTGTCTGGGCTTATATTTGCAAGGCAATCACTAACAATCAATTTCTATATTGCAAAGTCCACATAATATCTTTGCTTGATTTTCTCTTCTTCCAATAATATTCTCTTTGCCAACCTTGATTTGATACAATTCTTATTATTTGATAGGTAACAATTAAATATAAAGATTTTTCTAAAATTTCTACAAATAATAATCCCATCAATATCATGTTTCTTTTCTATCTGGTCATCTTGGTTGCCTCATCATAAATCCTGTTTACAATTCTTATTTAAATTTGTTTTCCCTACAATGTTCAAATCATTCTTACTGGTTAAGATTTTCTCAAGGTTAATTACATTTAAGTATTTAAATCTCTTTTCCTCGTACAGGCCATCCCAACACTTTTACATTTCTCGTATCTTAAAAAGTAAAAAGAAAGACAAAAAAAGAGAGAGAAAGAGAAAAAAGAATAAGAATAATATACTACTTAAAATACATATCCCTCTTAAACTAATATACATTTATTTCCATTTTTTTTGTTCTTTTTACCCATAATTAAACAGATTATTAAGCAGACCTGGACACACATTTTCACTTGCATGAGATGCAAAATAATTAAAATACACATTTCTTTGCTTTTGTATCTACAAATAATTTTTTAGTTCAATTCTGGTGTGCCTCATGGGCCTTTCCAGCCCCATGTAACATTTAATCTATAACATCCTTTATATAATGTTTATCTCCACTTTATCATTCCTTTTTTCTTTCAGTGCATTTTTCCCTCATGGTTCTTTTTTTTCCGTGCCTCTTGTAGGTAGCTCTAAATATGCTTACCAAGTGCCAGTCTCTTGAGTATCCGGCTGACGGCATTATGACTGTCGCCATCCATCCTGGAATAGTCAAAACTGCTCGCAACCCAATTGTAAGTTTTTTGACCTGGGAAACCAATAAAGGACAATATTTGAAGCTCAGGGTGGACATTAGGGATCTGTGCTTGGTTGTTTTTGTGCAGACATGTCATTACCCAAACTAGAACTAGTGATGATGTTCCCTAGCACTGATGACTAACATTGACGATATTACCGAGTTTGAATAATGCAACCTCTACAAGAACATAACCAAGCTCAGAGAGCACCAAGGATCCCTTATGACAGTGGTGGTGAACCTATGGCACGGGTGCCAGAGGCGGCATTCAGAGCCTTCTCTGTGGGCACGCGCACCGTCGCCCCAGTCCTAGGCCTTCAGCTGGGTTTTATAAAATCTTTTCACTTTAGGCCTCCGCCGCCGTGTGCAAAAAAAAAAAGATTCAATCAAACAATCAATTTCAACTTCTCATGGGAAAAAAAAAGATCTTGCAAAGTTGGAATTGATTGATTGAACTTTTTAGTCCCACCCAGTCTGCTGTTACCACTGCAGCCACGCCCACCCAATGGGCCACACCCAGGCAATGGGCCATACCCACCGGGCACCCGATGATGCATAAGTGGGTTTTGGGCTGCAGTTTGGGCACTCAGTCTCTAAAAGGTTTGCCATCACTGCCTTATGACATGAGAAAAAGATATAACACATTCATATGTATTCAGCTATCTATGAATCAACATAGATGCAGATTTTCAAAGATATATGAATGATAAAGGAGAATATTTGTAGTTCAAGGTTGAAATGAGGGTCCTTGATGCTCTCTGAGCTGCTCGGTTGTTTTCTTGCAGACATTTCATTACCCAAACTAGCTAACACCGGTACAATGATGATGTTACCTAGTTTGGGTAATGAAATGTCTGCAAGAAAAAAACCAAGCAGCTCAGAGAGCACCAAGGACCCCTCACATTTGAATGATTTAATGATGAGTCCCTGAAAATATTCTTATTATTTCGGTTTTTAGTGCTTTGTGTGACAATGTGCCAGTGTAAAAATAGATACCTCAAGTACTTCTGTTAAAGTTACGCTGCAGTTTGAATCAAAACATCGAATTAGGTGTAAAGACAGTGAAGGAACAGAACCTTTAACAGAATAAAAAGAGCAACAAAGATGATTAGGGAACTGGAGGCTAAAACATATAAGGAACGGTTGCTGGAATTGGGTATGTCTAGCTTAATGAAGAGAAGGACGAGGGGGGACATGATAGCAGTGTTCCAATATCTCAGGGGCTGCCCCAAAGAAGAGGGAGTCAAGCTATTCTCCAAAGCCCCTGAAGGCAGGACAAGAACCAATGGATGGAAACTGATCAAGGACAGAAGCAACCTAGAATTAAGGAGAAACTTCCTGACAGTGAGAACAATTAACCAGTGGAACAACCTGCCTCCAGAAGTGGTGAATGCTCCAACATTGGAAGTTTTTAAGAAGAGACTGGACAGCCATTTGTCTGAATGGTATAGGGTTTCCTGCCTGAGCAGGGGATTGGACTAGGTGACCTCCAAGGTCCCTTCCAACTTTATTATTATTATTATTATTATTATTATCATCATCATCATCATCATCATCATCATCATCATCATCATCATCATCATCATCATCATCATCATCATCATCATCATCATCATTATTATTATTATTATTATTATTATTATTATTATTATTATTATTATTATTATTTTGAACAACCTTCCCCTATAAAAGTTAAAATCCAGTTCCTCTTAAAAAGAAATCTACTAAATCTTACCTTCTCATGTTTGAATCTCTTCTACTGGTGATTCTGCAGTCTTTCTGCAGGAAAGCATGTGCGTATATACAAAATGACAAGGACTCAGTCCATGTCATACCTGAGATTCAAAGCAGGGTTGACCCTTTGTTTTGGAAATCATAACAGGGGAGGATTCCCATACTAAAGCAAATAATAAGAGTTCCACTTTGCAAATATTAAATTTATTGACTAAGTACCGGCACTTCCAAGGCCTGCTCATCCATGATTAACTTAATTAACCCAAACTTAGGGATTTACATGAAGCTTTGTATCATCACCCATCACAGGGGATGTGCTTGTATACTGTACATTTATAAGCCAAAATGAGATTGGCCAGTTTAAATACAAATCCGTCTCTATATTAGAGTTGAATATTTATGGTCAAAGGGCCAACTGCCTTCTGCTGATCTGCTTAGGTGAGAGTTCTGGGTTGGCCAGGACTGATTCTCTAAACCTTATAAGGTCCTTTTTTGTGGCAGCCGGAAATCAGCGTGGAAGAGAGCACAGAAGGCATCATGACGGTGCTGTCCAAGCTCTGTGAAGAGGACAACGGGACCTTTCTGGATTATTTGGGTCACCGACTTCCCTGGTGATCCATCAGTCTCGCCTTAAGGTTGTTGACTCATAACAAAATGAGAAGCAATAAATAAATAAATCACTGAATGTCATGAAAATCTTGATTTTGTTTTCTCTTTCTTTCAGAAGCTTTTATTATTTTTTTTTTAAAAAATAACCAATATTCTTCATGTCTCATATGCAATGTGAGAGGATGCGGAAATAAGCCTCATGTGTCAAGCCTATACCATGATCTATTAGTTTCAAATACTTATCAAATATTTATCTTTAATCATTTTAAATACTTGAATCCCAGGTGTAAACATTTTAAAAACAATAAAGCTACTGAACTGTGTGACAGTTTAATGGTCAGGTCATAGAACGTGTAATCAACCTGCCCGTTCCCCTGCATTCAGCTGCACTAGTTCCAGCTCAGCCGTACAAGCCGGCTTGTCAAGATCTAAACGGAATCCGGCTTGTACGGCTGAGCGGGAACTAGTGCAGCTGAATGCAGGGGAATGGGCAGGTTGATTACACGTTCTATGACCTGACCATTAAACTGTCACACAGGTATAAATATATATATATATATATATATATATTCTTCCCACCTTTAGCCCTTACTTTGATGATGTCAACAGGAGGTTGATGAAAGCTCAGTGATTAAAAGGTTCTTTTGTATCCCGGAGTTCAGTAGCTTTATTGTTTTATATATATATATATATAACAATTATATATATATATAATTCTATCCTTTGTATGTATGTATGTGTGTATGTGTGCAAATGCTGAAGTAATAGTGTCCACATTTCTCTGTTCAGTATGTGGCAGAACATTCCATGCTAACATCGGTCTTATCAGCCATCTACGGACACACCGTTGATGGCCCATAATCCATAAGATGTCAAGGTCTTCATCGAAATCGATGGACGAACAACTCCTATATATATATATATTTATATATGGGTACAGGTATGCAGGTCTTGGCATATTCAGGTCTTTTCCCGTGTAAGATTGAGAGTATCTTGGCGACGTTTTGACGAGGTCCCACTCGTCATCTTCAGACTGGGGTCTTCGGCTTCTTGCTTGTGCGAGCAAAGTGTAATCTATTTATAGAGAGACGGCAGCTCCGATCACACTTTGCTTGCACAAGCACGAAGCCGAAGACCCCAGATGACGAGTGGGACCTCGTCGAAATGTCGCCAAGATACTCTCAATCTTACATGGGAAAAGACCCAAATATGCCAAGACCTACATATATATACTGTATATGCAAAAGTAGAGAAAGAAAAGCAAATAAAAGAGAACATAAAGATCACTAAAGAAACAAGAATAAAAAAATAAGCAATTTTCAACAGTTATAAACAACCTCATTTTCTCTCTTGCCTCTTCAATATTACAAAAAAGTGATGTAAGGTATGTTGATTCTGTGGGTGGAAGCGAATATCTTCTTAGGTAGTATATCTTAGCCGGCTTGTATGGGGGAACGGGCAGGTTGATTACATGTTCTATGACCTGACCATTAAACTGTCATACAGGTATATATGTAGGTTCTTCCCACCTTTAGCCCTAATGACTGCAGTGTTTTTAGGGTTTAGTTACTGTCGTTTTTTTTTTAGGGGTTTGGCTGGTATGTTGAATGACACCAATTGTGTTGATTGACCCAAAGATCTGATGCTCCAAGAGACTGAAACAAGCTGAAACAGCATGTTGTCTTAACAATGTGATGGTTTTTCAGATGTCACTAATCAAAGCAGTTTACTTTCTTACATGAAATTAAAATACTGAAAATTAAGTTCAGACTAAGTAAATACAGAAGAACAATAAGGCTGAAAATGGGTCATCAGAAATTTGGACCATGCCGTGTGTGTGTTGGATTAGTTTCTCTTTCTTTCTCATTTTATCTTGCATCAGAAAAAATTCAAACGCAAAACTAACCTGTCTATAAGACACAACAAATTATAATGTTAGTCATCTATTTGTTAGGGCATTTTATTGACATGGGGTCAATCCATGAAAAGGTTCCTTTTGATCCTGGTCGCCCTGGTAGATCTCTCTACCAGCAGACACATGGAAGGCATCTGTGCTTCCTCTTAGTTAAAGCTCTAAAATTAATTCATTATTTAATAATGATTTCCTATTAGCTTCAGAAGTAAACTGCCTAGTTGCTAACATAGCTGGTACAGGACAGATGTCACCTTTGAGACCACACTTTAAAAAATTGCCCACAAGGAATGTGATCCAATAAAGTCCCTGAAGATTGAGGATAAATTTCCTGGCTTTTATTACCTTTTAATCCAAGAAGAATTGAAAAATGGTAGTGTCCTCTTTAAAACTGGCTTTCTTCTCCCTCTTCCTAACACACATGCACCCAGAAACATGGACACATCATTGAGCATCCATATATGGGTGTTCCAAAGACATATCTCAGCAGCATGAGTCTGGAGGCTCCAGTGTCAACAAGGATTTTGCTGGGGTCATCTAACTCTCCAGGGTCTGCATCAACTGAAGCTTTGGAATCAACTCTAATATGAGGCTTGAGAATTCATAGTGAGGTCAAACAGCTGCTGATCTGTTTAGGTGAGGATTCTGTGCTGGCAGGACCGATTCTTTAAATCTTATGAGATGCTATTTTGTGACATACAGAAATCAGCATGGAAGAGAGCACCCAAGGCATCATGACTGTGTTGTCCAAGTTTTGTGAAGAGGACAATAGGGCTTAAAATGCCTTTTTGTTAGCAATTTTAACTAAAATATCATCCACAACTACCTGCAGATTGTGTTCCGGCACTACTAGTCTGAATCCTGAAATTTTAGTTTTGACGTTTATCAGAAGATCTTAAAATGGGTGTGGTGTCATCCCCATAATTGTGCTTCTATGATGGGAAAAAGGCATTTGAAGGAAGTCTTTCAGAGGCTGAAAACAGACACGGCAGCTCCTGGAGAAAATGGCGAAGTCAGTGGATTTCTCCGTTTTCAGCGTTCTGGTGACAGGATCCAATCGGGGGATCGGTCTGGGTCTGGTGAAGAGGTTTCTGGAACTGCCCTGTCCTCCCAAATGGGTCTTTGCTACAACTCGGGATATGGAGGCGGAGAAAAGTAAGGTAAGAATCAGTTAACCTAGCAGGACAATGGGGTACAATAGTTATTGTGTTGAATGGAGATTGAAATGACCTTGGTTCAAGTCCTCAGTTGGCCATGATGCTCACAGATGATTGGGGGCCTTTTGAGTATCCCCCCCACCTACTTGCTCCCCAAGGTTGTTGTTGGGGAGAAAAGAATTGAGAGCACCATCTACACTAACTAAGCTTCCAGATGAAAGACGGAAGAAGATGTGGCCTTGAAAATCACACAATTACATCACAATTAACTATCTTATCCTGTAGTGATGGTTGGAATGACAGAGGTGAACAAGCTGGGCAGATTGCCCTCAGCAGCACCAGATTTGGTAACTGTTCCAATTAAGAAAATCAGAGGTAGCAGTGGGATGTGGACTGTCGGTTCTGGACTCTATCTGTACTGAATGGATTCACACATTATGTTAAACTTCAAAGTGGTTTGTTACCATTTGTTTTATTGGAGCTGTCATATTGCACAGCTGCCATTTAATGAAAAAGACACTGCATACTTTTCCTGGTTGGTCCTCTTTTTTGATATTATTCTTTTTAGAATCTTGCTCAGCTTGTTACTTGCTCCTGATATATAATTACAAGTTTTATTTCTTAAGGTTTGGTTTTGTTCAGCTACTAACATTGTATGGCTGCCATCTAGTGAAAAAGAAATTGCATACTTTTCCTGTTTGCTCTTCCTTTTGACATTGTCCTCTTTGACATCCAGCTCAAATTATTCTCTGCTTCTTGGACGTAATTGTGAGGATTACCTTACAAAAAAACACCATGATCTTTATTTTCCTCTAGGAGGTAAAAGAGTTGGCTTGCAAACATCCAAATCTCGTGGTGTTGCAGTTAGGTAAGTTTCAAGGAACCTGTGCAAATAGGATACATTTTGCACTACACAAATGTGTAAAGTGTCAAGCTAGAAGCCATTCTTGGAACTAACATGACTTGCAGAATCACTAGTTGGATGGTGAACCCAACTAATGACTGCAGTGTTTTTAGGGTTTAGTTACTGTCGTTGTTTTTTTTTTAGGGGTTTGGCCGGTATGTTGAATGACACCAGTTGTGTAGTTTGTCAGTTAGCAGAATGAGTTAGAGCTATAAGCTCTGGGCTTCAAAAAACCCAATGAGAATGACATGTCAGGAACAAAAGAGAGAAAACTAATGAAGTCTTTTTGCAGCCCGGATAGGATAGCTGCAAACATTTGTGCAAGCAAACTTTATATCAGGATGGGTTCAGAGATCTCACAATCTCTACTGCAATATGATACTTTGGTCTAGGGCATTGGATAGATAAAGTAAATTGTGAGATAATTCAATTGGTTTTGAGTATAAAGTTATGACTTGAGTATGATGCGCAAATATACTCTGTGTCACAGTTGATCTTTGATCTCACTAATCAAGACCAGCTTACTGATTTTGTTTCAGCTCTGTTTGGAGCCCACTTTTTTAAGAGAGATTGGGTATGTGATCTTAAAGTTCTTATATTTAGACAATATCACTCTGGGTTTGCTGCTGACAGATCCATGCCTCAACTATTGGGGGCTGGTAGCTGCCAAGATGGCTGTTGCAAGGATGGATACACAAATCTTCTGAAGTCTGAAGGAAAGTCCCTTGTAATTGTGAAATGGCATGTTGGCTGCATTTCAAGTAATGTTAATTGTTCCACAGATGTCACCAAATTTGAGAGCATCCAGGCAGCTCTGAANAAGTGGAGATAGAGTCATGTCTTCAAAGGTTGTGAGGGATTCATTTTAATCCATAGGAAACTGCAAGGAAATGCCTAGAATTGTGTGTGATCTCCAGAATCTACCACTTACCATCAGATCACCTTCTCGTTCTATTGACAGGTCCCTGCGGCTTGTGCAAGGTGCTTCTTGAACTGGTTTTGCAGAATGTTCTTCGATGGACTCTGCATCCTCCAGAAACCACACAAAAGCACGCTCCATTCTCACATGGTTTTTTGGGGGAGGGTCCGAAGGCCATATGGAAACACTGCTGTCTTGTACGACCTTCAGAAGGTCTGTAGTCCACACATTAGAGTACGCTCCATTCTCGTGTGGCCTTTTTAGCCTCCAAAAATCAAATGAGAATGGGCTGTGCTTTCAAGAATAGTTGTTGGTGAATGTTGGTGAATGCTGGTGTGTCCCCCCAAATGTCATGGCGTGTCCTGTGCCATAGGTTCACCATTACTGAGCTAGGATGGGGTCACGGTCCCCTGAAGATCATTTGGAGCTAATGTAAGACCTTCTGAAAAATGATGCTGGCTTTTGATGCTGCCATCTCGCAATCCCTTTCCATAGATCTAACTGCAGCCCATTCTTTCTTTTCCTTCCTTTCGTGAAAGACCTTTCTGCCCCTGCTGAAGAAGGCAGCCCAGAGAAGTCCACAGGAAGGGCTGAGCTGCAGCAAGGCGGCCATTATCAATACCTCCAGCGCTGGAGGATCAATGGAAGTGATGCTACTTTGGTATAAGTGGAAAGGAATCGGCTATCGTTGCAGTAAGGTAATGTGCAGTAATGTGATGCCTTTATGAAAGTTCATGCACACAGACAAAACGTAATGACCAGAAGGAAGAGTCCTTTATTATTTATTTAATAATTTATTTTTTAAACCAACAAAACAAAACATAACACACATACACACACAGTGTATACTCCTCCCTTTTTTTTAAACAGCAATTTCGTAACGGTAATCTTCTATTATTTACATTCCCCCCCCCCCTTATTCTTCTTTAGAATATTTGTCCTTGTTGTCCCGTTGTTTTTATTACACACACATTTTCCACTTTTGACCTTTCCACCTTTATTCTCCTCTATTATTTCTAGTCTCCAACCAGTCATACCACTTGTTCCATATTAGATAGTACTCTGTGTCTTCCTTTTCTTTTATCTCTTTTGTTAATTTGTCCATCTCAGCACAGTCCAGGATTTTTCTTATCACTTCTTCCTCTGATGGTATATTCTCATTTTNATCCATCCATCCACGTCCTTTGTAGAGAGCTGAGTATTTTGTTAGTGTCTTACCCAAATTCTTTTAGAAAAAAAATAGATTTAAATAAAACTGTTGCAATTCTGAAATTTCATTCTTGTCCCTTTGCAATTTGCAATACCTTTGGAGTCACGGCGAGATGCTTAAGAGAAATTCTGAAGGGCTTCCTACTTCTTCCATTTCCTGACTGATACACCTAATATCGTGTATTAGTTGACCATATTTTCTCCTTCTATCATCTCTTCAGTGCATTCTCTGCTCAACTTTGTTGTTTGTCTCCAACAGACTGCTTTAAACATGCTCACCAGATGCCAGTCACTTGAGTATCCACGCCATGGGATTCTCTCTGTCTGCATCCATCCTGGCTGGGTGAAGACGACTTACAAAGAAGTAAGTACTTTAACCTGGGAAAAGGAAAACCTATTCAGACATGCATCAATGACCTAATGATGAGCCCCTGATAGTTTGGGTGTTCTGATTAATTGTGTTTTTAGCATTTTGTTTACTGTCATATGAATTAGGACAATATACTGAAGCAAATGCTTCTTGACTGTTAGGCAAATACTGATCCTCGTACAGACTGAATGAGCAATTTGTGTTCCATGTAAAGATGATGGAGGTCTGGCACCCTTAACAATGCAAACTGAATAGATTCTAAACAAATGTTCCTTCCCATTTTTCTCCCAAAGAAATTGATCTAATCTCTTCCCAACTTCCTTTCGTAGAATCTCTGCCAGTTTGAGCTACTTAAAGAATGTTCCTATATTCAGAAAACTTGAATAGGCAAATCTTACCCTATGGCCAAAATCATACAGTAGAGCTTTGGAAATATCACAAGTACCTAAATGCAGATTCCCCCCCCCTCCAAATAAAATCTTGAAGAGATGAGATAGGCTTTTGTCAAAGATGTTGAGATAGATGCTGCCCAGCCCCCTGGTTAACCCAGTGGCTGTACTTACCCTTGGTTATCTTTCTATAGTCACCACCATTTGTATAGTCACCTATAAAGACAAGAGGGGAGAGAGATCCCTTCAGACTTGCAAGATTAAGGTAATCCAGACAAAAACCACATCTAGCAGGGCTAGCTCTGTTTTATTATAAGGTTATATTAACAGAATCCTGCAAGACTAAAGGTACATCTCTACCCACTCACTTTTACAGTCCAAAAATCCAGGGAAGATCCTTTCTGAGATGTTTGTCACGTCGACACTACTTCTGCAGGTTCAGCTGCCTCTTCTCTGACCATTGCCCGGTCTGTGGCTCTTCCTCCTGTCTCCCAAGGGGGATCCCACATGCCATTATAGGAAGTTGGGCTGTGCTGACGAGTTTCTTTTTTTGTTACAGGCAGATCTAACCGTGGAAGAGAGCACACAAGGCATCATGACTGTGCTTTCCATGCTTTCTGAGAAGGATAATGGGACCTTTGTGGACTGGTCGGGTCGACAGGTACCCTGGTGAACCATTGGCTTCCTAATCCTTGGACACCTAATATATTCCCAATTAACGAATCTACAATAAATCAACAATTGTCATGAAAAACCTGTCTTTGTTTCCCCCTCTTCATTGCATGTCTGTGTGACATTTGTCTTCACTGAGGGGGTGTTGTAAAATAACACCCTGGTTCATTTTTTGCCTTTTTATGAGCTTTGCATGAGTGATCAGTGTGATATGTGTCTCCATCTACTTTTATTTCTTCAGAAACAAGCTTTGGAAAACAAAGATGGTCAGTTCAAGAGGGTGCTAATGTCACCTTTCGGGTGTTCAGTAAAGGTGTTTCATTCCTTGCCATCTTTTTTTTCCTATCCAGGTGCAAACTGTAATCCCTGAGAACCACAACATTTGGGGTCTCAGTATGTGTCAATTAAGTCCTTAAAGCCAGATTTGTTGAGAAATTAAAAACCTTGAAGTTCTGGTGCTTCTCCTCCATAGCTTCATTCCTTAAACTGGACAGAAAAATATCAGCCAATGGTGGACAAATAACCTAGAGCAGCAACCTCTAGGCTAGTTTTTCAAGACATCAGCAGCTTCTTAGACACTAGCAATCTCCCCAACTGCATCCATTATTTTAAAAATAAAATAAAGGAAATTAAGTGCAGTTTACGTCAATAGAATGCACACACCTGAAGAATAACCACATGATTTAAAGAACACAACAGGCTAATTCAGCATGTTTCAGTCACTTGGAACCTCAGATTTTGTGGGCTGTACAAGCAACTCATCATCTTCTCAAGAGCATTTAGCCAGCTTACTTCATTAAATAAAATTAATGTATTGAACTATTAAGTTCACGCTAATGAAGCAGGACAATAATGCTGAAAAAAGGTGAGCAAAAATTTTGTACTTCTGAAAGAAAGGAACATATGGGCTTGGAGGATGTTTGTGTGTGTTGATTGCTTGCTAGTAATTTTCTGGGCATGCTATAAAACACTATTAATATAGTCCTTAATGGGATCTTCACCTCCGGAAGAAAAGTTAATGATAGTTGCTTAGTAATAGAAAAATCACAATAGAACCAAGACTAGTTTTTCTATCTAGAAATATTTGCTCTTACTTCATTTATAAATAATGGTCATTCAGTCGTTGTTGTTTTTTTGTCAAATACATTCTTACATATTTGACTTTTATCTATGATAGTATTGAAAAAATGTTATTTGATAACAGTACTGCTTTTCTTCCGCTGTCAAGTTCCACATCATAATTTGGGATTTCTGTTTGTTAAAGTCACCACATGTACAATGGCTGCATAGGCTCCAGCGATGAACTTAAAGTGTTTTTTTGTTAGCAATTTTAACTAAAATATCATCCACAACTAATTGCAGATTGTGTTCCTGCGCTACTGGTCTGAATCCTGAAATTTTGGTTTTGACGTTTATCGGAAGATCTTAAAACGGGTGTGGTGCGATCCCCATAATTGTACGCCTATGATGGGAAAAAGGCATTTGAAGGAAGGCATTCAGAGGCTGAAAGCAGACACGGCAGCTCCTGGAGAAAATGGCGAAGTCAGTGGATTTCTCCGTTTTCAGCGTTCTGGTGACAGGATCCAATCGGGGGATCGGTCTGGGTCTGGTGAAGAGGTTTCTGGAGCTGCCTTGTCCACCCAAATGGGTCTTTGCTACAACCCTTGACCTGGAGGGAGAAGACAACAAGGTGAGCACCATTTAAAGTGGTAGAGTGGTGGGGTGGACCCCCAGGAACACCAGTTTAGGCTTTTAGATAAAATGTGGCAGAGAAATGAGACCCAGTTTACTTACAGTAGTAAACTATGACTGATTTAAATTCTGACTTTTTGAAGCTAGAATGCCACAATTAAAGCATCAACCACAAGGCTGCCTGTTAAACCTCCTGGAATATTTTTACCCATATCCAGTCTCAGCCAGCAAGAACTGAACTCATTCTGTATCAGTATTATATAGGTCCCTTCCCCTTCTGCTTCCTCTTCCAATAGATGTGGATATGTATAGGGCTGAATAATAACTGTTATTTTTAGTAGTCAAATACAGAATTTGGTGTATTTTGGTTGATACATACAACCATTTTTAAACAAGCAATGTGTGGGGCTGGGCTGCACCCTACCAAAAGAATGGTTTCTGATTGGTTTCAAGCCCAAGCCGAGAGACAAGACAGTGAGAACCAATTGTGTCCAATCCTTTATTTGCTTACACCTACTAGACCGAATTGTGCCAAACTAACGCTATAATTTCCTAGCTACTAGATATATCCTGAGAGAATCCAGGGTGTGATTATCCTGAAACTCTTCTGCCCTCCTTTCAGATTGGGACTGTGCAGTCTCTTAATGTGGGGGTCTTTCTGAAAAAGCTCTGAGGTAGCCAGATCCATCCCCTCAGCTGACGCATGTGCACATTCCATCGCATCGGCCACATGAAGCATAGAACACAGAATATAGACGAATAGGGTTGGAAGGAAACTTGAAGTCTTTTATTCCTTCTCAAGCCTATCTCTTTCTGACCCTTTCTGCCCCAAATGTCTGTCCAGTCTCTTCTTGAAAACCTCCAATGATGGAGCACCACAACTTATGAAGGCAGTTCCACTGATTAATTGTTCTCACTGTCAGGAAATTTCTCCTTAGCTCTAGGTTTGTTTTCTCCTGACAACTATTTTTCAAGACTAGATTATAACACTCATTTAAAATTCCAAATACACCCACCAGCTTGTAGGAGGTGGGGGGTCCCCTGTTCTGAGCCATTAATCGTGTTTTACAGGTTGCGAAAGAGCTGTGTGGAAAACACAGGATAGCTTTGTATGCTCATTAGCTATCGTAGCCCACAGCAAGCACAGCGAAGGAAAGTTTGACAAACTTTCAGCAGAAAATAATTTGATTCCAGATTTTTCAATAAAAAGCTTTGAAGCGGCAGCGGGGTGTGTGGAGAGCCCTAGCTAGTTTGGGGTTAGGCCCTACTTCCTGGATTCTGATTTTGCGTTTAGCCTGGATGTGGTTTGTTAAGGTTTGTTTGTATCACAGAGATACCACATAATGAGGGAAATAGTGGTGTCTCTTTTCTGCGTCATCTTCCTTTTCATATTGTCCTCTTTGGACTTCAGAACAACTCACCCAAACAACTCCAAGTTTACTTTGGAGACAAACCCGATACTATGATATTTTCTTCACCAGGAGCTGAAGGAATTGGCATGCAAAGAGCTGAATCTGGTAGTGTTGCAATTAGGTGAGTGTATTATTCATTAATTGGGTTCATTTATGCAGCCTTCCACCTCATGTACGACTCAACGGTAGGCCCAATTCAAAAATACAAAACAATACAACAAGTTCACAAAAACAAGAAATAAAAATCATTCCGTTAGATTCTCAAGGCAGAAAAAATGCAGGTAAGTCCATGGGGTCTCCTGGCTTTCTAAAGTAGGACACTCCCCCCCCCCAATGAATGTGGTGTGTCAAGGAAGTCTTGCTCCAGGGATCCTGATGTTGGCCTGGAAGTCTTGCCCCCGGGGGCCTGATCTTTGATCTTCATTGCCACAGGCGTCTTCATCTTTCAGTCCAGAGTCACAACCTTACAGCTTTCAAGCTGGAGCCAGACCCCTCAGGGATTCCATGTCCGGCCTTCCAAGCTTCCAGTCATTTGGCTAGCAGATTGAGGTGCTCCATTATGAGGCTTGACATTTAGCAGATTATGTTACAGCTGTGAGATCTCGGCTACTAAAATCTAGATGACAGGAATGGAATCTTTTTGCGTATCTGATAGAGTAGCTCTAAATTATTTGGACAGGCAAATGTATATATCTCAGACATAAATCGTATCTCTATAGGTCTTGATTTGGCTTATGAACAATTGTGGATTATTCAATAGGTCTTGACTATAAAGACATGATTTGCATATAATGCTACAAAAAAAAATCTGTATCAGAGCTTGTCTGCGATTCCGCAATGATCAAAACCCTAAAAATGGCTCTCTTTTAGCCGCATTTGGAATTCTGTTTATAGCAGAATGACTGAGTCAGATTGCTCTGATCCTCAAGTTTTTGTTTTTAGGCAGTGCCTTCCTGCGCGCTATTGAAAATGTCCATGTTGGCATTCAAGTCTTTCCACTGTCTAGTTGCTCTTTGATATGAATCGACACAAAGACCTCCTACGATTCCAAGAACTCCTCTCTAACGATTCTGAAGCAGCGCTTGGCTGATATTAGAATAATATTGTTTTCCTCAGATGTCACTAAATTGGACAGCATCCGGGCAGCTGTGAAAGAAGTGCAGAAGTGTGTTGGAGAAAGCGGATTGACCCTCCTTATCAACAATGCTGGCCTTTTAGTGGGCAACGATCTGGAAAAGGAAAACGCCAAGGAGATGATGAGGGTGTATTCCGTCAATACTATCGGGCCTCTGCAAATGAGTCAGGTTGGTTTATTATTCATTTATCTTTTTAGAAATAATTTTCAAGACAAGCAGCTTGCTTTACTAATTATACTAAAATACTGAACAAGACAACGTGGTTCAACAGAGTAGGATAAAAATGTGGAGAAACAAGGGTGTGGAGCTTTCACAATGGCTTTGTTGAGCTTGATACAAGAATGGACTTTGGGCTTTCAAGTTTTAAACTGGTTATGGATATTTCTATTGGATTTTTTCATTGGATTGAGTTGGAATGGTCGGGGACTGCAAGACAGCAAATAAGATCTTCGAGGAGATCAGATGAAGCTAACGGAAGACCCTTCTGATAACTGAATCTGGCTTTTGATCTTCACCGTTGCACCGATCCTTTTCCTGGACATAACTGCAGCCCATTCTCTCTTTTCCTTCCTCTCTCAAAGGCTTGTCTGCCCCTGCTGAAGATGGCAGCCTGGAGAAGTCCATGTCAAGGGCTGAGCTCCAGCAAAGCAGCCATTATCAATATCTCCAGCATCTCAGGCTCAATTGAACTTATGGAACGTTGGAACATATTGCAAATAGTCGCCTACCGCTGCAGTAAGGTAATGGGAGTTTTGTGGCCTGAACGTGAAATGTCCTGTCTGCTGAAAGACCATGAAACCTGAGAGGAATGGGTTTTTTTCAGGGTTGATTGACTGCGTTCGTCCATATCCAAATTGGCAACATAATCATGCATTGATTAGTTACCTATTAGTTAAATGTAAGAACATTTGGGAACTCAAAATAAGATGGAGGATTTGTTCCCATTCAACTTTGCTTTTCTATAGATATATTGATCCAGGCCAGGTTTGGAACTGGAGCAGAGTTCTGGGGGTTCTTCACAAGAACATTGTCAAAATTCAGACCTTATTCTCCTTTTGGAAGGTATCTCATTTGGACCCCTATCGAACTCCAATATGAAAACTGAAATTAAGAAGAAACTACCTTGAATTGTGTGTGTTTTATTTATTTTATTATTTTATTTTATTATTCTTTTATTATTCTTTTATTTTACATACATGATTATCATTTTCATTCACTGTACAAAATTAAAAATAGATTTGTGAGAAAAGAGACCAAGCATTATCCCTAAGAATACAGCATTTGTAATGTTGGGGAGACAAAGAAGGCCAAGCTGACAAACTGTTCCCCAAAACAGAATCATAATCACGGCACGAAAGGGACCTTGAAGGTCTTCTAGTCCAACCCTCTGCCAAGGCAGGAGGCCATATTTAAATTTGAACAATTTAAATTGGTTTACCTTGTTTACATTTTAAAAAGTTTAAATTTAAATGCATGTGTTTAAACTGTTTGCTTATCTCCATCATCCAGATCGTGGCTAACCCAAAGGTGGCTTTTCCAAAAAGCAACTGGACTTCCGTGATTTTTTTTTCTTTGAAATGCCTGTTGCCACGTTGACATTTTGCTTATGCTTCCTTAACAGTTCTTACGAGCTCAAGTCATAAAAGAGAACGGGATGCTTCCCATTTGTCTCAGGCTCTAGTACCTAAGACCTTGAAATGTATGACTTTATCATAATTGTTTCTCTGTTGTCTATTGAATGCATTCTCTGCTCATCACTGTTTATCTCCAACAGGCTGCTTTAAATATGATCACCAAATGCCAGTCACTGGACTATTCAGCCCATGGGATTCTGTGCGTAGCCTTTCATCCTGGTCGGGTGAAAACCTATCCCCAGAATGTAAGTGTTATAACCCAAGGGGGGGGGAACCTCATTCATACATGCACACTTGTAAATAAGGATGATGTAACAATAAGGCCCTGACAGTTGTGGTGTCCTTAATTATTTGTGTCTTTAGCATTTTGTTTATTGTCTTAATAATCCATCCAATAGACAAATGCAAAGTCGTAAAAGTTGCATGACCGTTAAGCAAATAGTGATAACCTTTCATATTATTGAGTCATTTATCTGGTCACCTTGGGTAGGGGTCTCAGGCTATGCAAGGGTGATTCCTTTCTGGCTCATGAGATCTTTCTTTTCGACAGGGGGAGATATCTGTGGAAGAGAGCACGCAAGGCATCATGACGGTACTGTCCATGCTTTCTGAAGAGGACAGCGGGACCTTTGTGGATTGGTTGGGCCGGCAAATTCCTTGGTGAACAAACATCTACTGCCATGGCTACAATATATTGTCAAGGGAGGAGTCCTCAATAAACCACCGAGCATCATGATAGCCTTGTCATTTTTTATCTTCATTGTATGCTTTTTTCCATGAGACATTTGTCTTGCATGAGCACAAATGATCCATGGACTGGTTCTTTCTCTGTTAAGGGGCTATCTGCTCGTGTCCACCTCTGGCTACCTCTGTTCCCCTCTGAACACTCTGGGAGAAAATAAGTTCTGAAACAAAATCCCCAAACATCATTCTCTTGGAGACAAAACGAAGGCCATGGGCGGAATTGATCTGCCATTCCTTCGGTTGCAAAATGGTCCTAATGTGAAACATGTTTCTAGTCAGATCAGGGGCCTTAATTTAACAAGCCCGTTTTTCAAAACATTCACAGAATCCTTGACGCTGATTTCCAGGTTTGCTTTCTGAAGAGGACAACAGGAACTTTGTGGATTGGTGGGTCATCAACTTCCCTGGTGATCGAGCTGTCTCACCCCAATGTCATCAGCACTTAATACACTGAGAGGTGATGGGACTTCCAATAAAACCATGGAATATCATGCACATTCTGGTCTTGTTTTCTTTTTCTTTCAGAAGGTTTACAACAACCTGAACGGTATGCACGAATGTGGAAGCTACCTAGTTGCCCTTGAGAAGATGATGACTTGCAGGTATAGACCCAAAGATCTGAATGTCAATGCTGCTAACATTGGATGTTTTTGCTTTAACAACAGTTAGAGATGCAACCATTTTCTTCTTCTGCTTTACTTTTAGAGTTAGATGATGCTGGGGGGAGGAATGTCCATGAGAGTTCAGCTAGACATAACAATACTGGACCTAGTGTGTGAACCAAGGTTAATGAAATAAAAGATAAGAATTGGCGGGCTGGAAAACTGGAGGGAGAGCCTGCATTTCAAACTAATTGGGGAATGTGCTTTATGACTGTTAATTGGAAGAGAGAATTGTACTTTGATACTATGTGCTCAGGGGAGGGGCTTCAATTGTGTTAGTGCCAATGCTATGCTTTTCAAATAAAGATTCTTTAAGGTAAACAATGCCTCGAAGTTCTTTGAAGAGTTTCATCTATCTGAACCATGACACTGAAGTTTTAAGGGATTGAAACATGCTGAATTAGCCTGTTGTGTTCTTTAAATCATATGGTTGGTTCTTCAGATGTCACTGATCAAAGCAGCTTACTTTATTAAATAACATGAGTATACTGAACAAGTACACATTAACTACAGCAGAATAATGCTGAAAATAGGTAAGCAGAAATTGCACACTTTTGGAAGAATGGAACATGTGGACACAGGGGTGCATTGGTGTGTGTATGTGGATTACTCTGCAGTAATTTTCTGGGTGTCCCACAAAACATTATTAATATAGTCCTTAATGGGGTCTTCAACTCCAGAAGGAAATTTATGATGCGTGGAACAAAAGAAAGAGAAAAATCACTGTAAAACCAAGACCGGTTTTTCTATCTAGAAATATTTACTCTTATCATTGTGTTTGTACATAGTTGTCATTAATTCATTCTTTTTTGTCAAATAAATTCTTACCCATTTGGTCTTATCTATGGTAGTATTGAAAATTATTATTTGATACCAACATTGCTTTTCTTCTTCTGTCAAGTTCCATGTCAGCATTTAGGGATTCTCTTTATAGGTTCCAGTGATCAAATTAAAGTGTCTTGAGGTTAGTAATGTTAATTAAAGTCTCAACCACAACTAATTTCAGATTAGGCTCTGGCACTACTAGTCTGAGACAGGAAATTTTGTTTTGGAACCTATCACAAGATCTTAAGATGGGCGTGGTGTGATCCCCATAATTGTGCTTCCTGTGATGAGAAAAAAGGGCATTTGAAGGAAGCCCTCAAGAAGGTTGGAAGCAGACACCGCAGATCCCGGAGAGATGGCAAAGTCAGTCGATTTCTCCGTTTTCAGTGTTCTGGTGACCGGATCCGATCGGGGGATTGGTCTGAGTCTGGTGAAGAGGTTTCTGGACCTGCCCTGTCCTCCCAAATGGGTCTTTGCTACAACCCTTGACCTGGAGGGAGAAGACAACAAGGTGAGCATCACTTCAAGTAGCAGTGGTGAAGTGGACCCCCAGAGACACCAGTTTAGCTTTTAGAGCAAATGTGGTAGAGAAATGAAACCCAATTTACTTACAACAGTAAGCTATGACTTATTTTAATTTGACTTTTTTGTATCATATTCCATTGCCCAGATTGAAGCAAAGATCTGGGCATCTAACACGATACCAAATATAATACCGTGCTCAGCATAATTCGGGGGATCTATCAGGTAGTCTCTTTTGCTTATTTTTTTTTTTAAAAGATTATTTAATTTTAAAATTCTGTGAGAAGGTAGATGCTGAAATTATCAATAATTATCAAATTATAAAATTATCAAGGTGCAAAGCTCAACGTTGCACCTTAAACCCCCTACAACATTTTGGTCCATATCCAGTCAGCCAGCTAGCCATCAAGGATTGAGCTCATTCCATATTAATATTATATAGATCTCTTCCCTTCCCATCCCTTCCCATAGAGATGTATATGCGCAGGATTGAATAATAACTGAACTATTATGTCTAGTAGACAAAATACACAATCTCGTATATTTTGAATGATACGTGAAACCATTGTTAAATAAGCAATGTGTGTGGCTGGGCTGCTTCCTACCAAAAGAGTAGTTTCTGATTGTTCTCAAGCCCAAAGCCATAGACAAGACAGTGAGGTTCAATGGAGCCCAATCTCTATTTGGTTACGCCTACTAGAGAGAATGTTGCCAAACTACAGCTATAATTTTCTAAGTTACTAGATATATCCTACGAGATTCTAGGGTGTGGTTATCCTGAAACTCTTTCATCCTCCTTCCAGATTGGGACTTTGTAGTCTCTTTATGTGTGACTCTTTCTGGGAAAGCTCTGAGGTAGCCAGATCCTCTCCCTCAGCTGCTACAGGTGCACAACAACAACAACAACAATAATAATAATAATAGTAAAGTTGGAAGGGACTTTGAAGGTCATCTAGTCCAACCCCCTGCTCAGGCAGGAAACCCTATACCATTTCGGACAAATGGCTGTCCAGTCTCTTCTTAAAAACTTCCAGTGTTGGAGCAATCACCGCTTCTGGAGGCAGGTTGTTCCACTGGTTAATTGTTCTAACTGTCAGGACGTTTCTCCTTAGTTCTAGGTTGCTTCTCTCCTTGATTAGTTTCCATCCGTTGCTTCTTGTCCTGCCTTCAGGCGCTTTGGAGAATAGTTTGACTCCCTCTTCTTTGTGGCAGCCCCTGAGATACTGGAACATGGCTATCATGTCCCCCCTTGTCCTTCTCTTCATTAAACTAGACATACCCAATTCCAGCAACCGTTCCTTATATGTTTTAGCCTCCAGTCCCCTAATCATCTTTGTTGCTCTTCTCTGTACTCTTTCTAGAGTCTCAACATCTTTTTTACATCGTGGTGACCAAAACTGGATGCAGTATTCCAAGTGTGGCCTTACCAAGGCCTTGTAAAGTGGTATTAACCCTTCACGTGATCTTGATTCTATCCCTCTGTTAATGCAGCCCAGCACTGTGTTGGCCTTTTTGGCAGCTGCAGCACACGGCTGACTCATATTTAGGTGATATCCATGATATCAGTCATATGAAGCATGATGATTATTTTTTAAAACTAGATTCTAATATTCATAGAGAATTCCAAATATACTCACTGACTTTGAGGAGCTGGGGTCCCCCTCAGCAGGAAAGAAGTTGATTCCTGATTTTTGTTTCAGTTAAAAAGCTTTGAGGCAGCTGTGGAGAGCCCAACTAGTTGAGTTAAGCCATACTTACAGGGTTCTGATTTTGTGTTTAGCCTGAATGTGGTGTGTTAAGGCTTGTTTGTTTGATTCAATTTGCAGAGATGGCATCTAAGGCAGGGAAAAATGATGTATTTTTCCTGCTTCATCTTCCTTTCCAGAGGAAAGCTGAAACTCTGCTATTTTCTTCCTCCAGGAGCTGAAGGAGTTGGCATGCCAGTGTCAGAATCTGGTGGTTTTACAATTAGGTATGTGCATTATTTGTTCATTTGGTTAATTTATGTAGCCGTCCATCTCACACATGTGACTGAAAGGCGTACAAAATTCAAAAATACAGAACAACACAACCCACTCACAGAAACAAGAAATAACAAAAACTATTCTGTTAGATGCTGAAGGCAGAAGGACACTCCCAATGAATGTGGTCTGTGCAAAAAGTCTTCGAAGAAGTGACTTGCCCAAACTATCCTTTGAAGCGTCTGGGGAGCATTTCCACAAAAGGTGGACCTTTCCATATGTGCTTTTCCTTGGAGATCAACTTTGCCTTCCTCCTAAAAATTCACTTTTCTCCATCAAGCTTCGTCTCAGACCTGGAAAGACAGGATATGGTTATGAGGAGGCTAATCTTTTCACTTTGGGGGAGAAATGGGATTTATTATTTTTAATACGGGTGGCAGCCAAACTCTGCTATCATTTGGCACAAGGCCGCTACCAGGGAATAAGCAGGACTTACGGTAACCTAGAATTGCTCAACAATAATAAAAACAACCAGATTTCTGCTGCCATTAGATCACCAAGAGCTTGGTGGGATTTCCGTTGATAGTTTATCTTCTAACCGATGTTACAAAAATTGCTGTTTTCCTAATGCTATCCTTAACTCTAACTCTAAGTGCTTAACCCATTCATATGGTTCACTCGCTGTCCCTTGACTTGATGTGGACTCCTATGCTAAGCCTGAAACTTGACTGACCCAGGATTTCTGGTTTTTGACCCTGGGACACAGACTTTGTCTTGGAGGTCCTGACCATTGACCCTGGGGTCCTGACCTTCAACCAGGGATCCCCATTGACATAGAGTTCATCACCTTTGGGCCCAGAGTCACTACCTTACAGCTTTTCAGCTGGAGCCAGACCCCCCTGAGAGGTGACCCTGACCCAGACCCCTCAGGGATTCTATGACCTCTCTGCCAAGCTTTAGGTCCTTTGGCTAGCAGATTGAGCTGCTCCGTTCCTAAGTTTGACACTTAGCATATAATGTTACAACTATATTACAGCTACAGCTGAAAATGCCCGTCTTGGCATCCAGTCTCTCTGTCTAGTTCAGTGGTTCTCAACCTTTTTAATGCCATGACCCCAACCGGTCGTAAGTCGAGGACTAAACCGGTCGTAAGTTGAGGACTAAACCAGTCGTAAGTTGAGGACTAAACCGGTCGTAAGTCGAGGACTACCCAACCGGTCGTAAGTTGAGGACTTTCCCTGCCCGGGAGCGCCGCGCATGCGCGGTTCCGCCCCCTGCGCCGGCCGAGGCGTAGCTGGCAAGCGGCAGAGACGGAGCAGGCCGACCACCAGCTGGCCCAGCCCAAGGGAGGTAAGGCACCCACCGGAAAAGGGGGAAAAAAATGGCGGACAAAAAAAATGGACAAAAAAATGGCGGACAGCCTTGCTTGGCGACCCCCATGAAATGGTCGATCGACCCCAAGTGGGGTCCCGATCCACAGGTTGAGAACCACTGGTCTAGTTGCTCTTTAATAAGGTAGCAACCTGTGTGAATTGACACTAAGACCTATGCAAAGAAACATGGTTCCAAAAATTCCCCTCTAGCAATTCTGAAACCGCCTTTGGCCCATATTGGAATATTATTATTTTCCTCAGATGTCACTAAACTTGAGAGCATCCAGGCGGTTGTGAAAGAAATGCAGAAGTGTGTTGGAGAAAGTGGATTGACCCTCCTTATCAACAATGCTGGCCTTAAAGTGGGCAACAACCTGGACAGGGAAAACGCCAAGGATATGATGAGGGTATATTCTGTCAATACTATTGGACCCCTGCAAATGAGTCAGGTCTGTTTATTATTCATTCATCTTTGGGGAATAATTTTTGAGTTTTTCAGGATTTCACCTGGATGAGATTGCTATGAGAGACAGGAGCCATAGTGGCACAGTGGTTTGAGTGCAGTATTTCAGGCTAACTCTGCTCATTGCCAGGAGTTTGATCCTGACCAAATTATGTGTGCTCTTTGGTCAGCACATGTTACACCTCTACTCCATGAGCTGCAGTGGTTGCCAGTATGCTTCCAAGTTCCATTTAAGGTGTTGAGTGAACTATGATCTCCTATGTGACATGGTACTATGTTACCCTCTCTCCCCAGATATAGTGTCCCATTGGTACCAGCAGGAGAGGCATGTAATGGGTCATATCTGGTGGAACCCAGGAAGAGAACCTTTTCTGCTACATGCCCACTTTTGGAACATTGTCCTCTTGGGCGTTAGATTAGCCCTGCACCTGCCAACCTTTTTAAAGACCCTGGAGACGTGGCTGTATCCCATGCTTGGGGGACCGAACAATGGTGTGGAGCTTTCACAATGGCTTTGTTGAGCTTGATACAAGAATGGACTTTGGGCTTCTGACCACAACTTTTTTTTGTTTTAAACTGGTTATCGATATTTGTATATTGAATTGGCATGAAGGTCTTTGAGGAGGTCAGCTGAAGCTAACGGAAGATCCTTCTGATAACTGAGTCTGGCTTTTGATCGTCACCATTGGACAGATCCTTTTCCTGGACCTAACTGCAGCCCATTCTCTCTTTTTCCTTCCTCTCTCAAAGGCTTGTCTGCCCCTGCTGAAGCTGGCAGTCCGGAGAAGTCCATGTCAAGGGTTGAGCTCCAGCAAAGCAGCCATTATCAATATCTCCAGCGTCTTAGGCTCACTTGAACTTATGAAACGTTGGGACACAGTGCAAAAAGTCGCCTACCGCTGCAGTAAGGTAATGGGAGTTATGTGGCCTGGATGTGAAATGTCCTGTCTGTTGAAAGACCGTGAAACCTGAATGTTTTTTTCAGGGTTGATTGACTGCGTTTCCGTCCATAGCCAAATAGGCAAAATAACCATGCATTGATTTATTACCTGCTAGTGAAATGCAAGAGAGATTGGGAACACAAAACACAAGGGAGGGTTTGGTCTACTCAGCTTTGCAGATGCAAGCCAGGTTTGGCTCTCTAGCAACGTTCAGCGTAGACGTTTTCTCATGAAGTTCCAGGGCAATTCTTTATACAAACTCTGCCCAAATTCAGATTTGATGCTTCTTCTGGAAGGTAATTCATCTGGACATATATCTAGCTCCAATGCAGAGACTGAAATTAAGAAGAAACGACGTTGAATAGGTAGGGGCACGAGGGCTCAGCGGCTAAAGACGTTGAGCTTGTCAACTGGAGAGTTGACAGTCCAGGTTCAAGCACTGAGCAACAGGATGAGCTCTCGTTCCTGCCCCAGCTCCTGCCCACCTAGCAGTCCAAAAGCATCCAAATGCGAGTAGTTATAGCTACCACCTCAGTGGGAAGGTAACAGCATTCTGTGTGCCTTTGACGTATAGTCATGCTGGCCACGTGACCACAGAAATTGTCTTCAGACAATGCTGGCTCCCTTGGCTAAGAAACAGAGAGAACTACTGTCCCTAGAGTAGGACCCAGCTGGAAAACCTTCTCCTTTTTATCTTGAATAAAGTGCATTTTTTAATTTATTTCTTTATTTTACATACGTAGTTACCATTTTCATTCATTGTGCATAACTCAAAACAGACATTGTGAGAAAAGAAACAAAGTATTATCAGTAAAAAAATATCTGTAATCTTGAGGAAACAAAAGACGCTAAACAGAGAAAGAGCTTCCCAAAACAAATTAATAGAGGTTTAGTATAGTAGCTGGGACAGGGTTGATAAAAATCGTGTGACGGACATTTTCACCTGGATGAGACAGCTGTTAGAGACAGGTGAGGCAAAGTGACAAACCACTATGATCCCAAACACAGACTTCTTAGAGACGTTGGAGCGTGCTAACGCTTTTAAAAGAGATTCAAAATGCTTATCCACCCCTACAGCCCAGCCCCCCCCAACCTGCAGATGCAGGGGTGCCCAAAGCCAATTGTAAGGAGATTAATGGCTGGATCCAGAAAATACCATCAAAGAAATAATGTTTATGTTTCTTTCTTAGCCAGAGATGTGTGCATGCTGTTATCCTCCTGTTCGTTGTCTGAGAAATAGCCCACCTTGAATATTTCATTTCTGCTTCTTTGCAGTTCTTATTATCTCAAGTCATGAAGAAACTGCCTAGAGAAAATTAGGATCAGGGGTGCTCCCACTTCTCTTAGGGTCTAATATCTTGAAATGTCTGATTTATCATAATTTTTCTTCTATTGTCTCTTTAATGTATTCCCTACTCATCGCTGTTTGTCCTCAACAGACTGCTCTAAATATGCTCACCAAATGCCAGTCACTTGACTACGCAGCCCATGGGATTCTGTGTGTAGCCCTCCATCCTGGTCGGGTGAAAACATCGAAAGAGGAAGTAAGTGTTTTAACCCAACAAAAAGGAAAACTCACTCACACATGCACACCCGTAAATATGGATGATCTAGCAATGAGTTGTGGTGTTCTAATTATTTGAGTGTTTTAACCTTTTGTTTATTGTCTTAATAATTTGTCCAGTATACAAATGCAAAGTCGTAAAAGTTGCATCGACCGTTAAGCCAATAGTGATGCTCGTATTATCATATCATTTATCTGGCAACCTTGGGTAAGGATTTCAGGCTATTTTCCAGTTTATGAGATCTTTCTTTGCAACAGGGGGATATATCTGTGGAAGAGAGCACACAAGGCATCATCACTGTGCTATCTCTGCTCTCTGAGGAGGACAATGGGACCTTTCTGGATTGGTTAGGCCGGCCAATTCCTTGGTGAACAATCGTCTGTCTAATGCCAAGGCTACAATACATTAACAAGGGATGTCCTCAATAAATCACCGAGCATCATGATAATCTTGTCATTTTTGTGCCGTCTTTTTTGCATGTGGCATTGAAAGGAATCTGCCATTCCTTCAAATGCAAACTGGCCCTAATACGAAACATTCCTACTCCGATCAGGGGCCTTAATTTACACAAACATATTCAATTCACACACACGAACACTCAAATGTGCTTTTTTTTTTTTTTTACATTTCTTTCCCTCTTTCTTTCATTCTGGTCTTACTACCAAAGTGAGGAAGAACATGAACGAATGAAGGAACTCTGGATACATACAGTGTAGCCTATAACTAGAAAGGATATGTTTAAGTCTAACAAATCTCCATTTATGGAGAAATATCCTTCTAAATCATTAATGCAGCATCTACCTGGTCTTGGTTGACTGGAAAAGCCTAAGCAATATTGGACTTAGTATTTGAGGAGATACCACCAACCAGGCCCAGGATGTTAGCCTGGGGAATTCGAAAGTGGGAGAAAAATTGTCCTAAAAGAAGAAATGGTGAGCTTACTGTGTCCAAGAATGAAAATGTCCAGGAATGAGATGTCTCTGAAAGAAGCCTTTATCTTAGGATCACCAAATATACCATGCATTGTAACTGTGTGAAGAGAGTCCGCAGTAACAAGGTATGTATTGTAGAAGAAACTCAGATAATTCTTAGGTTCCAGCACGGATTCTAATTCCAGTCCAAGTGGAATTGCAGCAAAAACTGTACTCTTTTTGGGGACGAGAGTACATTTTCACTATTATAACTGCTCTGATTTTTGACCCTACATTCCTGGCTTTTGGTATAGAACAGGGGTAGGCAACCCAAAACAAAGAGCCATTTGGACCCGTTTCCCACTGAAAACAAAACACTGGGAGCCACAAAACCCTTTTGATATCTAAAATGAAGATAACACTGCATATATCCTTTTTTACCTTTATACATGCATACATACATACATACATACATACATACATACATACATACATACATACATACAATAAGGTAAAAAAGGATATATATGCAGTGTTATCTTCATTTTAGATGTCGAAAGGGTCTCTTTGTCTCTCTCTCTCTCTCTCTCCCCCCCTCTCTCTTTCTGTCCTTGGTCTGCCAGTCCTCTTCCTCCACTCTCTTTATTTCTCTTTCCTCTCTTCCTCCCTCTCTCTCTCTCTCTCTCTTTCTCTCCCCCCCCTCTCTCTGATCTTCTGCTCACCTGGCAAGCTGGCTTCAAGCTGTTCTCCAACAAGCTCAGCTGTAGGCAACCTGGGCTCTTTTATGACTCCTGGACTTCAACTCCCAGAATTCCTGAGTCAGCAGAGCTGGGCTAGCTAGCTCTCTCCTGCCTTTCCTGCTTCCTACAGAGACGCAGCAAAGGGAGAAGCTCCGCCCAATAAGCTTTTCAGATCCTCGGAGAACAGTGAGTCCACTCTCTTTTTTATACACACACACACACACACACACACACACACACACACACACACAAGCAGTGCAAGTGCCTCTCTGTGTCTCTGTCTCTCTCTGCAAATGGCAGAGGAAGCTGGGAACCACAAGGGAAGGCTCAAAGAGCCTCATGCGGCTCCAGAGCCGCAGGTTGCCGACCTGTGGTACAGAAGCACCGATTTGGGATCCGGTAATATTTCCATCACTTCTGGTATGATCAGAATAATGGGTGAGAAGAGCATCTCAGGTTTTGCAAGCTGCATTCTTAATTTAACAAATGTAGCAAGAAAGGTCATAAAATGGGGCAAAACTCACTTTACAAATGTCTCGCTTAGCAACAGAAATTTTGGGTTCAGTTGTGGTCATTAAGTCAACTATCTGCACTAGATAGATTAGATAAAATAGAGATAGGTAGGTAGGTAGGTGGGTAGATAAGATGATAGATAGATAGATAGATAGATAGATAGATAGATAGATAGATAGATAAGATAGATAAAGTTTGAAAACCCTTGTTTTAGCACAGAGGTCCCCAACCTTTTGGGCACCAGGTGTGGTTTTGAATACTTCCTGCATGAGGATGGAGTTTGCTTCTTTGTGCGGCTCGCTTGCTGGCAGGCTGCGGACTGGTGCCGGTTCACGGACTGGGGGTTGGGGACCCGTTTTAGAATATAGGAGCAAAGGGCCCAAGTGCACTTTGAAGGCAGCTTGTGCCATACAATCAGGGTAACCACAAACAAGCCTACTTTGTTTTCCTCTCCTGGGACATTTATGCCATGGAACAAAGCATTTAGGTCTTCCCTTTGGAAGAAAGCAAAAATTATTTTATTGGAAGTTCATTATGGTCGAAGAGGACATTTCTGAATACATCAAAGCCCCAAATTTTCACAAAAGATGATCTTCAGTGACTTCAGGAAAGAGCAGAGAGTAGAATTCTTTATTGGCCAAGTGTGGTTGGACACACAAGGAATTTGTCTCCGGTGCATAAGCTCTCAGTGTACATACAAGTAATAGTGATAATCATGATCATAAACAACATGAAATACATTCATCATAAATCGTAAGATGCAACACTTAATGATAGTCATAAAATACTAGCTAAGCAAACAACATAAATCATACTAGGATACTAAAAAACAATATAAATTGTAAGATACAAGCAACAAAGTTATAATCATAAGAAGATGATAGGTAGGAAAGATGAGAAGTATCATAGTAATACAGCTTACTAAGTAGTTTGACAGTGTTGTAGGAATTAGTTGTTAAGCAGAGTGACAGCATGGGGGGAAAACTGTCCTTGTGTCTAGTTGTTCTGGTTTGTATATCATGTATATCAGTACATCATGATTAACATTTACCAGTCCCCCCAAAAAAATAACCTATACATGGCTAAAATTATTCCAAGGTAGAAAATTAGAAATCTTTTATCAGTCACTGGCTACCTATCATTAAAAAGGGCCATTGAGATTTTCTTCCTGGTTCGAAGAACCATCGCCATGGCTAAATTTATGCCTGGCAAGAGAACTATAACATCTATTCTCAGGCACTGGCTGCACCTAGCATTGATGTGTGTGATGTAGTGTGTGTGCCATACCTATCTTAAAAAGAGCCGTTGAATTTTGTTTTATGGTTCTAAGGATCATCGTGTCCAAATCAAGGCAGGTAAGAAATCTACTTTAGAGTTTCAATGACCCCACGTAGAATTAAAAAGGGCCAGAGAGAATTATTTACTGATTCTTGGAATTAATGTTTCACCCTAGTAGAAAACTACTTCTTAATTTATAGATCGATGGCCATACCTCATATTAAAGTGCGTCAGCAGGTTTACTTTTGATTTTAAGAGGTCTGGCTGCTAGTTGCATTATTTCTAAGGGTGTGAAGGTGGGAGGGAGGTGATCCAAAAGGATTCCTTTCCAGTATGAGAGTCACTTAGTGATCTTCAGGGACTGGGAGAGGCTTCTAGCAGAACGCTAGAACCTTCACACTCAGTGCTGGCTCAGGGACTGAAAGGGTGACCCAGGGCAACCCCAGAGAGGACTTCCAGTGTGAGTCTCACAGAGTGTCAGCTCAGGGACTGAATGAGAAGGCAGCGGATCAACAACCAGGCTCATTCAGTGTGAGCGTCACAGAGTGCAAACACAGGGACTGCAAGACCTCTTCACAGTAGGTGCCTTGGCATCACCTACAACCTGTGGTGGTGGGGGGGATCGGCTGCATGTGCCGATGACTGCTGATGGTGAACCAAATCAGTTCTCTTCCAGTTTTTGGGTCTTACTGAGGGGGACTCCAGGAACTGGAGGCTTCCATCTCAGTGCTGTTGACTCCTCCAGTGTGATTGTCCCTCAGTGCCAATTCAGGGACTGAGACACCCAGTGCATTTCAAAGAGGACTTCCAGTGTGAGTCTCACAGTGTGTCAGCTCAGGGACTGAATGAGAAGGCAGCGGATCAACAACCAGGCTCATTCAGTGTGAGCGTCACAGAGTTGAGACTTAGGGACTGAAAGACCTCTACAACTAGGTGTCGTGGCATCACCTCCATCCTGTGTGAGGGTCGGCTGTGTGTGCCGATGGCTGATGATAGTGAGCCACATGGGTTCTCCTTGGGTCTGACTGAGGGAGTCTTCAGGGGCTGGAGGGGGCTTCCATCTGAGCGCTGTTGAGTCCTCCAGTGTGGTTGTCCCTCAGTGCCAACTCAGGGACTGAAAGAGTCACCCAGTGGAACGCCAGAGAGGACTTCCAGTGTGAGTCCCACAGTGTGTCAGCTCTAGAACTGAATGAGAAGGCAGCGGATCATCTTACAGGCTCATTCAGTGTGAGTGTCACAGAGTGGAGGCTCAGGGACTGAAAAACCTTGCCACTAGGGCCATCATCTCCATGCTAGGTTGGTATGGGGGATGCTTATGGGGCCCTCGCCACTTCTAAGAACCCCAGCCATGACTAACATTAGACCAGGCCAGAAAAATAATTAGTGTTTCAAAAATACACAGCCACACCTAGCATTAAAAGGAGCCAGAGATTTTCCTCTTAATTTTAAGAATAACAACCATGGCTAAAATTATGCCAGACCATAAAACTATACAATCTTTTATCAAAGACGGGCCACACCTAGCATTAAAAGTGTTAATGAAATTGACATATAGTTTGAGGGAATCTTCCACATGTCACTTTGGATTCACTTGCTGAAAGTGTATTGTTGATGAAGATCATATTCATTCTTCTTTTCCATTCCTCTTCCATTTTCACCATCAGCACTGCAGGTGACATCTGATTCTTCTGTCTTCTAAAGCTATGAAGTACATGCCTTTGAGATTAAAAAAAATCAACATTACTTCAGCTGCCGTTGTAGTTTTACTACTAAAAATATACAATCCACCATGATCACTATTACACATTATCAGTTAGTGAAGGCCATCCATCCCGTCTCCACATGTTAAAACTTTAAAGAATACGAGACTCAGGCAAAATTACCTCTGCGTGTAAAAGGCCACATAGCAGCCATCAGCTAAGAGGGCTT